TGGGGGAGGTGTTGGTGTGGGCTCAGCCTCTGGTGGCTCCCAACCCTCTCTGGAGGTGGTGACAGGGAGGGGACATGAAGCCACCTGTGATGCCACCAGCTGCCACCAGCGCTGAGTCAGTGCTGGGGGGGAGGAGGAGGAGGATTTCACCCCAAAATCAGCTCTCTGGGGGTGGTTGGTGCTTGGTTTTGTCACCCATGTGAGGTGAGATGACATTCCAGCATGGCATGTGATCCACAGGGATTGGGAGGGGATGGCAAAGCCCCCCCCAGACTGGGTTGGGGACATGGGGGGGATGACAGGGATGTGACAGGGTTGGGATGTGCTTCCCAGAGGGAGGAGGAGATGCTGATGATCTTCCCACCAGCCCAAAACCACTCAGCACCAGCCCTGTGGAGAAAAGGCTCCACAAGGCTGGTGCTGGGTGGTTTTCCAGGGGTTATTTGGATAAATCATGGAATAAAACTGGTTTGAGTAGGAAGGGACATTAAGAGACACCCAGGGACACCTCCTACCAGCCCAGGTGGCTCCAAGCCCCATCCAACCTGGCCTAGAACACTTTCAGGGATGGAAAAGCCACAACTGCTCTGGGAATTCCATCCCAGCCCCTCACAGCCAGGAATTCCTTCCCAATATCCTACCCAAACCTCTTTTCCAGGGTGAAGCCACTCCCCATTCTCCTGTCCCTCCATCCCTCATCCCAAGTCCCTCTGCAGCTCTCTTGGAGTCTCTTTAGGCACTGGAAGGGGCTCTAAGATCTCCTTCCCTTTTCCATCCCCTGGGATGGACACAGCAGGTTTTGTGGGATTCCACCCTCTGACTCCTGGCTCTGCTCCTGCTTCTCCCTCAGGAATGGTTTATGTCACTCTAGGAGTTCTCTGCTCCCTTCCCAAAAAGGCTTTTCCCAAGACTCTAGAGGCAGCAGCTCCAAAGGGCTCTGCTTTCCATCAGAAATTCCATAGGAAAACACACCCTTGGCAGTTCCATACCAGGAACAGCTCCTTTTGGAAAACTGCTCTGCCCCCCCCCAGTTATTCCCAGAGTTTTGTTGCAAACTGGTTATTTTTCCTGCTTTTTTTTTTTTTTTTTGGCACAAAATAGTCTTATTTATTCCCTTTTCCCTATTATTTAGGACACAAATTCCCCTGGGATTTATCAGGAGACTATTTAGGACACCTTCCCCCCTCTCCCAGGTGCTGCCCCAACATTCACAGTGTGTCCCTGTCCCCAGGTGGGATGTGGAGGGAGAATTCCAGGACAAAGCCAACATTCCCAGTGTGTCCCCAACATTCCCAGTGTTTCCCTGTGCCCTGCACGTGTCTCCATCCCATTCCAGGTGGGACTGTGTCCCCCTGTCCCATTCCAGGTGGGACTGTGTTCCCCCATCCCATTCTAGGTGGGATTCCTGAAGATCCTGCACAAGTACGAGATCACGTTCCTGCTGCCCCTGGAGCAGAGCCCTGGGCGGGACCTGTGTGCCCTCCCCGTGCCCAACCCCAACCTCCGTGTGCTCGCCATCACCTCCCTGCCAGAAGGTGAGTTGTGGCCCCACCTTGTCCTCTCCACATCCTTTGTTGCCCCCTCCATGTGTCCCCTCCTTGTCCCAGTCTTGTTCCCCAGGCAGGATGGGGAGGGTGCAGGCAGGACAAGGAGGGTGCAGGTAGAGTAGGGTGCACAGGCAGGGCTCAGGCAAGACAAGGAGGATGCAGGCAGGGCACAGGCAGGGCAAGGAGGGCAGAGGCAGAGGCAGAGTAGGGAAGGGGCAGATAGGATAAGGAGGGTACAGGCAGGGCTCAGGCAGAGCTCAGGCAGGGCAGGGAAGGCAGGGAGAGTGCAGGCAGGTTTGGAAGAGTACAGGGAGGGTAGGGAAGGTGTAGGCAGGATAGGAATGGTACAGGCGGGGCTCAGGTAGGGTAAGGGGGATACAAGCAGGGCAGGCAGGGCTCAGGGTAAGGAGGGTACAGGCAGGGCTCAGGCAGGTCTCGGAGGGTACAGGCAGGGCAGACAGGGCTCAGCAGGGTAAGGAGGGTACAGGCAGGGCTCAGGCAGCTCCTGAGTGTCCCTCTGTCCCCAGGCCACAGCGTTCGGTGTGAGTACACAGCACACAGGGAGGGAGTGCTGAAGGAGGAGCTGGTCCTGGTAGGACATGGGCAGGGACAGGGACACGGGCACGGACAGATGCACGGACACGGCATCAAGGTCACCGTCCAGGCACGGGTCATGGGTAAGGAGCTGCTGGCACCGGAAGGTTGGAGGG